ACATTGGTGAATGCCACAAATTCTCCTAAATCACTCGTACGCACAACTTAAGAACAAATCTGTGCGTACGAACGGTTCTTGCATGAGGCCCAATGACCCTGGATAATGTTTTATTTTGACTACAACCAACAAGCTGAATGCGAGTGAGACTGGCAGAAACCAGTTCTGCTTTGATCCTCCAGGGTTCAAGAGCTTCAGATGGAACAGCTCTAAGGCAGTGTTTTCAGCGTTGTTGGAAAACAGTTTGGAAAAACTTTTTTTTTAAATTAAACTCTGCTTTCTTTTCTTCAGACTTCTCTGGAACTGAAAAATACAGACTTCATTACTTTATGAAACTGTGTGGGAACTCTGTTTAAACTCCAGACTATCTTTTGAACCTTAGAAGAACGGTAAGCTAAAACACTACCTCTGTGTAGTTCCCACATTTGCTGTAGATGGCAGAGAGGAGACGATAACATTCGATACAGCTGTCTTCTCTGGATATGATGTCCAAGATCATCTTTTCTGCCTCTGAGTTGAGATCAGCCATGGACAAAACCTGAGCCTGAAAAAAAAAATCACATTTTAAAGTTCATCAGTATGTTTTGACCGAGATAAATTTGGTAAATAAGATGCTACTTGAAGAAATGGTATTGGTGAATGGGGATGGGTAAAAACCCATGWGAGCGGGTGCCTCCTAAGTGGGCACATTACTCTCCCCAAAGAGACATTGAGTTTTTAATCAAAACGTTTGTGTCCATCGGATGAAGGACACAAGGTTAGAAACACTAAGTGTTCTGAGCTTRGCGGGATCCATAAAACATTTTGTTGCGGAGATCACATTATCTTCTTCCCTCCTCTTGCACAAAGCGCAGAGCAAAGCATTAACAACAGTACAGTCATGGCCAGAAGTTTTGAGAATGATTCAAATGTTAATTTTTACAAAGTCTACTGCTTCAGTTTTTATGATGGCAATTTGCATHTACTCCAGAATGTTATAAAGAGTGATCAGCTTAACAGCAATTAATTGCAAAGTCAATATTTGCCTAGAAAATGAACTTTATCCCCCAAAACACATTTCAACTTCATTGCAGCCCTGCCTTAAAAGGACCAGCTAACATCGTTTCAGTGATTGCTCCATTAACACAGGTGTGGGTGTTAATGAGGACAGGGCTGGAGATCAGTCTGTCATGATTAAGTAAGAATGACAGCACTGGACACTTTAAAAAGAGGCTGGTGCTTGGCATCATTATTTCWCTTCMGTGAACCATGGTTGTCTCTAAAGAAACATGTGCAGTCATCATTGCACTGCACAAAAATGGCCTAACAGGGAAGAGTATCGCAGCTAAAAAGATTGCACCTCAGTCAACAATCTATCGCATCATCAAGAACTTCAAGGAAAGAAATTCCATTGTTGCCAAAAAGGCTCCAGGGCGCCCAAGAAAGACCAGCAAGRGCCAGGACCGTCTCTTAAAAGTGTTTCAGCTGCGGGATCGCGCTACCAGCAGTGCAGAGCTTGCTCAGGAATGGCAGCAGGCAGGCGTGAGTGCATCTGCTCGCACTGTGAG